GCCATGATTGACCAATCAGAATCTAGTGTTCAATAGAGCTGGGAAAATAAAAGCACTTTATAGCTACCTGATGGCTACTGCTTCTAAAACAAACATGATACTGAAATCGTACAGAGGCATTTAGTACAAAAATATTTAAAGAAAGAAACATACAATCCTTCACACTCTTATTTTTTATTTTTTTATTAATTTTTTTACAAAAAAAAAAAAGTTATTGTTTTCTTCTGCTTCAGGAGCGACCTCAGTCCGGCCTCTCTTTTCATCTGTGTATTTTACCTTTTTTTTCTATCACAATACAGGTGCTCTCATCCAAACTACCATGATGTAATCCAACTGTAATCCCAAACATCAAAGAACCACACAGCTGTCATGTGTCACAAACACACATACACACACACTCTCTCTTCAAAGACTTCTGCAATGTGTGTTTGGCTAAAATTTGCTCCTTACTCATTTTTAAGGAAAAATGTAATTCATTTGAAAAACACTGTTAAAGATATTGTAACATTTCTTAGTTAGCTTGGTTGTTTTTGGCTTTTGGCTCTGTGACAGACATGCTGGCCATATGGTTCAGCTTGAATCAGGCATAAGACCTCCTTGTGACCTTTCAGAGTGTATAAACAAACATTTGCATACACATATGCACAAACACAGTCATATGACTGTGTAGCAAATGGCATTCAGGAACACAGCAGTTTATCTTGTATTTTATCTGTTATTAAGTACGCAAACAGATAAGCTCATAGCAGCTTGTATCATTATGTTAACAAGCTTGTGCTATTATATGCATTATTTACACATATACACATTATAATTATATTATATATAGAAGTTCAGTATTGTTGTTTACAGCATTGTATTTTATCATTATAACAGTAGCCATCTGCTGAATAAAATTGCTTTTAACAATGTAGCCATGCATTATAAAATATATAGATTGCTATTTTAACTGTCTGACTAGGTTTAGCATGAAGAGTCCTCGGAGTTATCTAACGTAAGAACTGTGGAGTGACATTTCAGTCATGATTCCACTATCTTTAACACAGTTCCATGAGACGCTACAGAATATCTACTTTTAATGAAGTGTCAACCTACTGTAACAATTAATTTTACATATACATTTTCATAGTATTGTATTCAATAAAACGTGTACTTCAGGCTAGTATTGCAAATAGGACAACTTTTATCCGAAATACCACTGTTAGTCAGTGTCATTCACTGTGTTTTGAGCTCTGACCACTATGTGGCATTGTGTTTATTGTTAGTGTTAGTTGCTTGAGAGAGCTACAGATCCTGTAGTGCCTATGTTTACATATAAAAATAAATATATTGATTAATTGAGTGAGTGAGTGGTTGATTAATAACTGAATTAATAAAATAATAAATGACTGACTGACTGACTGAATGAAGGAAGGAAGGAATGATTTTAACCTCAAGCTGTCCTACTTAGCTTGAATATAGTACAACAGTGCCATCACGTGGCTACTTTAATTAATGCACAAGTGTTTTTTAAAGATACTTTCACAGGGTAGTTTTATTACAGTTATCATATACACATGAATTCTACACATTAACATTTTTATTTTTGTAATAATAACATAAAACTTTATATCACTTTTGAACAATTCATGATTTGACAACAAACAACATGACAAAAATCTAAATTGTCCTACTACTGACCTAAACACACTTTTAGGAAACTTCTGCAGGAGACATTTTAGTTCATTCTTTGCTTAGCACAAGATGTATCATGCCAGTAGCAATAAGCTTAACAGTCACTTTAAATGCAAGTAATTCAAAGTGTTTATAGCTGTCCACACGTGTTTGTAAGTGCCCTTATATTGTCTATTTCTTTTTCAGGGATGCCATATTTCCTCTCTTGCATGAACTGAATGCCTTAATAGATGCATGAGGGTAAGTTTGTTTTATGTGTAAGTACAGAACGTTTATAGACTGATACGTATGTCTTTGAGTCTGAGTCAGGGCAACTGAATGTCTGTGTGTAGAATGATAAGATGATTCTTCCACCCTATGCAAGACACATCTTCACACCTTTCCCTCCAACCAACCTCCTCAGCTCCAGCTGGAAATCACTCCACTCCTAGAGCACAAAAAGATAGATGTTTCTTTTCTAAATTCCAATTACACTGCATTTTAATCAACTACTCTTGGTAATGCTGTTATTGACAAGAGTTCTAGTACTGTTGTCACTGTGTAACTGATCAGAGTTATAGCCAGTGGTGTAATTTTAGTTACAAGGTGGCATCAAATAGCTGCCATTCAACCTAGCTAACCTGATATCAGAGAAAGTTATGAGATCTGCATACCAATCTACATGTTATATTAATATAAAAGCCTTAAAGATAAATAGTCAAATAGTATGACTTACGTTCTTCTGTGGAACATAAAAGGTATTTTTAAAGGGATTATTTTATGTGTGTGTGCGTGCGTGCGTGCGTGCGTGCGTGGGTGTGGGTGTGTGTGGGTGTGTGTTTGAGGGTGTAAGGGTGTATATATAGGTATATACTGTATATATAGGGGATATATATATATATATATATATATATTTGTTGATTGAAATAAAGCTAAAATAAAATGAAAAAATATACAAATATTAAAGAACTTGAACTTAATAAATAAAAACACAAAAATTAGAATACTAAAATTCTTACAATTAAAACTGAAATGAAAATACTACCAAACTAGTGCTGTCAAATGATTAATCGCATCTCAACTAAAAGGTTTTGTTTACATAATATATGTGTGTATATTATGTATATTTATTATGTATTTATAAATACAAACGCATGTATGTATATATTTAAGAAAAATATGTTGTTTATATATTAAATATATTTTTATATAAAATAAAAATAAGAATATAAATATATAAATGTATATACCGTACATGTAAATACTTTCAAAATATATACTGTATGTGTGTGTATTTATATATATATACATAATAAATATACACAGTACACACATATTATGTAAACAAAAACTTTTATTTTGGATGCGATTAATCGCGATAAATCATTTGACAGCACTATATCAAAACTAAAACTACATAGAAATACTAAAAATAACAAAATTACTAAATTTAAACAAAAATTAAAAGCTATATATATGCTTTTACATATATATACAGTGGGGACGGAAAGTATTCAGAACCCCTTAAATTTTTCACTCTTTGTTATATTGCAGCCATTTGCTAAAATCATTTAAGTTAATTTTTTTTCCTCATTAATGTACACACAGCACCCCATATTGACAGAAAAACACAGAATTGTACTTAAATGATTTTAGCAAATGGCTGCAATATAACAAAGAGTGAAAAATTTAAGGGGGTCTGAATACTTTCCGTACCCACTGTATATATATATATATAGCTATATAGCTATCTATGTTTTTATTTTGAAAATATTAAAAGCTAATTCAAATATGAATAAAAACTATATTGATATATTATATTATTATTAATATTACTTTTTAAACTGCCTTCAGAATGTGTCCTTTGATGAGAAATTCTATAAGTCCACAATGAATCAAATCTCGGTGACTATACTGTCGAACATATGCAACAGTGCAAAAGAGGTTCATCTGAAAGGAGAAACATGAAGAGGGCACACAGAGAAAGAGAGAGAGAGGACTGCAGGCAGAGACAGGCGAGGAGAAGAGCCGGCCAGCTCTGCTGACTCAGGACATTTCAAAAGTGTTGATTTCCGCTCCATTTCTCCAGCCTCTTTGTAATTCTTATGAGAGTGTAAAAGGTGTCAGGAGCCAGAGAGGGAGTAGACAGAAGAAGATAGGGTGAAAGAGAGCAGATCAGATTAAATATCGACTGACTTCAGACAGGCAGTGTACTGACTCATCATCTGTATACCCTGCCAGCTCGGCTGAGGAGGAGAGACAGAAAGAGGATGAGCAGACAGAGCCGGGAGGGAGAACGAGGAAGAGAGGACTTACCCAGGGGAGAGTGAGGAGAGCAGCGAAACGTTGGGCTTGTGTCGTGAGGGAGGAGAGACCAGCACGAGTAGGCGAGACAGAAAGCATGCTGTCAGGCAATGAAGGGAGTGAAAATAAGAGATGGGATGAGAAGAAAGAAAAAGCAACAGTGGCTGGACGGAATACAAAACAAATACAGGATCGAAACTAGGACCACTCAGATGAACATTTATTAAAGAGGCTGGAGATCTCTGGGAAATGAGAGATAAAGGATGTTTATAAATGTATACCAGTATAAATATGCCAACATTTAGATCTTATACACGATATGAAGATGAAAAATTTGGTTTTGAAATAGTTTTAAAAACTGACCTATTATAAAAAGTAACACCTACTAACTAACTAGTTACTCAACATAGTATCCATTCTTCTCTGTAAACCCATTGCTCTGAGAGCAAAGAAGGGACACAAACTATTCTGTCTTAAAAGATATAGACCTACAAGTCATGCTTTTAGTGTCTGACAAAAAAAAAAAAAGATGCTATAGTGTCTTTACACATTTTTTTTCTTAAATTAATAATGCTGCTTTGGTTGTATGAGTATTACAATCTTTTTATATTCTCGTTAATCCTTTCATTTTTCAAAACTTCTTGTGATTTTTGTGTATGTGTATTTATGCCTCCTCTGGGCCCCAGCAAACCCCCAGTGGGGTCACAAGATGACTTAAAATTATTCAAATTAATGTATTATTATTATTATATCATTAACACATCATTTTTCTATTAATTTAATTCAAATGAAAATCAACAAAAATATAAAACATAAATCCCATAAAATGTATGTTTGTTTTCTTCCTTTCTTTTACAATATTGGGTAAAACACCACTGGGTAAAAATGGCATTACAATTTCGGACAGTTTACGAGCATTTGGAGGAAAAAAACAAAAACAACACAAAACATTTGCTGGACAGTTTCTTAGCCACGTGTAAGTTTAAGTGCGGCCACAAGATGGAGACATAAAAAACGAAACACTGAAGGGAAACACGGTAGTCAAATAAGGAAATGACGTGAGGTGTGCAGTATTTCTTCTTTGGGAAGCCAGGGAGCTGGAAAAGCTTTCATGGGGCACTTCTGTTAGAGTTGACATGAGCGATAGTAAGAAACGACAGTCAGCGAGAGCACGAAAGCAAAGGTACGTCAGTCTTCACTCTCTGAGTTACTGTTAGGACATAAAGAGGTGAGAGAAAGGCAGTGGACGCGTGTGATTTCCATCTGCTCGTGTGTCAACACGTGTAACTTTTTGTCACCACCAAATATAGCCGAGAGACTAGACACCTTTAACCTCAGCACGGTAGCAGGAACACGTGTAAGAACTTTTGGTCCAAGTAAATCCAGTAAGGTTAACAGATGCAACTGTACCACAGTCAATTTTCCAATAACTATTTATTACTTTGTACATATACCTATTTATTCATCTATCACAAAAACAACACAAAACATTTGCTGGACAGTTTCTTAGCCACGTGTAAGTTTAAGTGCGGCCACAAGATGGAGACATAAAAAAACTAAACACTGAAGGGAAACACGGTAGTCAAATAAGGAAATGACGTGAGGTGTGCAGTATTTCTTCTTTGGGAAGCCAGGGAGCTGGAAAAGCTTTCATGGGGCACTTCTGTTAGAGTTGACATGAGCGATAGTAAGAAACGACAGTCAGCGAGAGCACGAAAGCAAAGGTACGTCAGTCTTCACTCTCTGAGTTACTGTTAGGACATAAAGAGGTGAGAGAAAGGCAGTGGACGCGTGTGATTTCCATCTGCTCGTGTGTCAACACGTGTAACTTTTTGTCACCACCAAATATAGCCGAGAGACTAGACACCTTTAACCTCAGCACGGTAGCAGGAACACGTGTAAGAACTTTTGGTCCAAGTAAATCCAGTAAGGTTAACAGATGCAACTGTACCACAGTCAATTTTCCAATAACTATTTATTACTTTGTACATATACCTATTTATTCATCTATCCAACAGACTAACATGTTAGTGAGTGTGGATATTGATATATACTGTATGTCCTATATTTATCCATGCTTACATTTTGTTGGTAGACTACATGTTGTAATAATTTAGCAGTCTTAGTCTGTCAGTCTGCTGTGAAGTGATGCTTCCTGACAGCTGAGCTGCATTTGGATCCAGGTGTCTGAATATGACATGCTTCAGCTCTTTAGGTCTCATTCCAGACTAAATATTTGGCTCGTGATCATTTCATTGAAATTATATTTTCATTATCATTATCCATACAACTCAAACATTGTCTTACTGACATAATAAATCATTTATTCAGTGAATGCATGACTAGTACTAAAAAATTGTTGTGACGTGTGTCCTGCTAGATGAGGATGGTTGTTTCTAAGGTTTTCCCACATACAACAACCTATGGAGTCCCCCCCGCCCCCCACCCCCCAATTCACCTTTCTCATTGGGGGCATGAATGAATGATTTTATGTAAATATAAGATCTAAAACGGTCTGTATTGTGAAAAGCACTGTACAGAAATTTGATTAATTGCAGTTGATTATAACATTTTCATAAGAATGCAGCTGATTCATTTTATGAGATACTAATGCATTTTACACTGCACAGAAGCTTCATCTGAAGCAACACGTATACCACGGAAAGATACATTTATACTGACTTGTAATGCAGCAGAGACAGCATAAATAGGCCTACATTTACACAGAAACTACAATTGCAGAAATTTTTTTATGAAATTGTTTTAAATATGAAGCAATGCATATAGAAACATGCAATAGAATTGAGTCTACCTGTGATATATAGTCTTACATAAATGCAAATACGATAAGACTTTATTATAAATGACTTTCTCATTCAGATCTGTGGTAAAATGAACTAATTTTGATCTCTGTGGTCAGGAGTTGCACAAAGATGGAAGACTGTTTGATAGAAGACCAGACAACCTTTTACTCAAAGGCAGAACACTATTGGAAGGAAGTCCCACCCACTGTGGATGGAATGCTGGGGGGTTATGGCAGCATTTCTAGCATTGACATTAATGGCTCCAAAAAGTTTCTACAGAAATTCCTTGGGGTGAGTTGTTCTAAATTAATACTTTAATTCTACAAGCACATTATAGCATATATATAAATTAATGCAGCCTTGGGGAACATATGAGACTCCTTATGAATTTCTTTCCCAAATGTTTGAACGTTAGTGTAAATATCTATCTATCTATTAGTGTAAATATCTAAGTCTACTATTCTGAATTCTAGTTCACTGTCAAGTCTTATAAACTGATTATTTGAAAGAAATATTACGAGACAGACTGTAACCTTTCCCACAATTACTCAACTTTCTCTTGACCACAAATGAAAGTTCATGAGAAACACCCAATCACTTGGTTTTCTGTTTTACTCCAAGGAAGGCCAGGGTAAGACTGGGACAGGCTGTGCTCTGGACTGTGGCGCAGGAATCGGCCGTATCACCAAGCGCCTGCTGCTGCCCCTCTTCCGTACAGTGGACCTAGTGGACGTGACACAGGAGTTTCTGGATAAAGCTCGTTCCTACCTGGGTGAGGAGGTCAAGCAAGTGGAGAACTACTTCTGCTGTGGCCTACAAGACTTTCAGCCCCAGCCAGAGCGCTACGATGTCATATGGATCCAGTGGGTGATTGGTAAGGCATACAATTCACTTCTTTCACTACATTATCTATAAACAGAAATGGTGAAAATGACCAAATGTATCTTCTATCATATTTTGCAAACACAAATCACTCCATGTGTCTCTAGGTCACTTGACCGATGACCACCTGGTGGAATTCCTGAGGCGTTGCCGGAGCGGTCTTCGTCCAGATGGCCTGATTGTGGTGAAGGATAATGTTGCGTTTGAAGGTGTAATACCTGATGATGTTGACAGCAGCGTGTGTCGGGACCTGAATTTACTACATCGCCTAGTAGCCCGGGCCGGACTCAACATCATCTGTGAGGAGCAGCAGCAGAACTTCCCTGAGGAAATCTATCAGGTCCACACTCTAGCACTCAGATAGCTGTGAGCACTGAACGAGGGGGTTTTATGTGTTTGTTCGGAAGCCAATAATGTGAGAACAATTTAAGATCAATGTTAGCTACACAGGAAGCTACGTGTTGCTGCCAATGTGATCACGTTTTTTTTTTTTTAAAGGCACAAGACTTAAAAGTGACCGTGGGGATTTTAAGCAGGGGAGTTTTACTTGACCTCTAGAGTTTGTAATATAAACAGCTAGGGTTCATCGCTATTATGAATCTGAATGCAAAAGTGGCGAATGGGAGCTTTTCAGATATCCAAACAGTTTTACACTCCAGTTGATCCTCAGTTTGAAGTGTGGAAGTTTGAAACGATCAAGAAAAAATTTTAATCACGCACACTACTTTGTTTTTAGCAATGGGTGTGCTGAAGACCTGAAGGGACAGTTGACCCAAAAATGAAAACGGTCATGTTTTCACCCTCATGTTGTTCCAAACCTGTATTACTTATTTTCTTCTAGTGGATATAAAAGATGATATTTTTGGAAATGTCTTGAGTTTTTTTTGGTCAATGGTCACCAAATCTGTGTGCTTATCAACATTCTTCAAAATGTTGTTTATTGTGTTCCACAAAGTCATACAGGTTTGGAATGACATGATTGTGAGTATTTGATGACAGAATTGTCATTTTGGGGTGAACTTTCCTATTTAAGACTGTTTAATCAGAGTTCAACATGTGTCTGTGGCACTGAATGGTGTGTGTAAAACATTTTAGTAACTTATATAGCAGTTTGAATCTATACTAGTTAATGTTACATGTGTGAATTTACAGCTGTTGACATAACTCTTATCTGAACCATATGCTGTATTTTGCCTTGAATAAACTAATATTTTAAAGCAGTGTTTGTATGACAGTGTTATTGTGTATAACAGGTTCACAACATTTTTGGCTTGAAGGCTCCTCGTTGTCCATCACAATATTCATGTCCCCCGTATATGCTATATTTGTAAGATAATCACGGTCTGTCTGCTGTAATTATGACAAAGCTGCTTGTTTTCAAACTTTTTATTAATATATTTAGTGACGTTAGCACTACGGTTTCAGAAAAACAATAGTTATTGAAGGAAAATAAAAATATGATTTCAGCTTCTATCTTGATATTTTTAATTTAAGTCATCCCGTGGCCACCTTGACAGTCTGTGGAGGTCCTCTGATTGAGAACCACTAATGCAGAATATACAAGTGTGAGATGGATATGGACATATAGTTTGGCCAATATTTATTTTATGAAATTAAAAAAGAAGAACAACTTTGGTTTCAAGTCTTTATCACTTTATCCTTCAGTTCTGTACAACAAAACTGGAAGCAGTAACTACCTAGTTTACAGCTAATATCAAATCAAATTCATGGTCTAGTTGTGTGTGTGTTCATATTATCTAAAGTTACACTTACAGGTCCCAGCTGTATTGTCAAAGGCAGTGGGGAACAACTTGGAAGAAGAAAGTGGTCGGACCACAACACTTAACACCATTTAATCTCAGTCCAGACTCACTTTCACACATGAGGCTGTTGGTTATTAAGGCTATGGGTTTAATAGATAGATCAGGACCAGGTTTCACTTTGAAAGCGTTTTGCTTTCTCCATGGCATCCAGCATCTCCTGTGCCTGGTTTTCTGACATGCCACCCTCTTTCTGGAACACTTCTTTCAGTGCGTCGCACACACTTGCAGGCATCTGCTTGGCATTCCTGGGTGAAAAGGGAAGGGTAGCTCATTTCTGTAATGCTCCTTATATATGCAGTACTGTCATATTGCTCTATAACCAACCATACATGTAAGGGTTTGACATTCACTAACAATTGAAATGTTTTAGTAAAGTGTTGTTGAATGACTGACTTGATGAAAAAAAAAAAAAAAGACTTACCCTGCTATGTAAAAGAACGCATTTTTCTTTGCTATCAGATCCCATAGAAGTTTGCTTTGTTCCTTCACACGATGCTGAACATAGATTTTTTCCTCCTGTAAATGAATTATATTAAAACTTACAAAAGGAAACATTTCCAGGGAAGTGTTCTTGGGACCCCCCAGCACTGCACATTTTGGATGTTTGGCTTATTGGACAAACCTACGCAGTATTCTTAAAGTTGTCTGACCTGATCTCTGGAGAAGGCTGTGACAAGGATCATCTGGCCCGCCTGCACCTTCTCCTCCCATTCTGATCGACAGTAGAAGTCTTTTGATTCAGACCGACAGCCAAAGAATAGCACATTAGCTGAAACAGGAGTCGAGACTTCAGTCAGAATGTATTATCACTAACTATTCTGTGACTTAGCGACAGCATTATGTGTCATGACACACATTCAGTCACTACTTCTGTATTATTATACTGTATTATAAAGGTTTAAGTAAAAAAATAGGCCCTGTGTCTTGGTTATTACCATTCTGCACAAATAAAGCAGAATATATCAGACCTTTTTTTTTTTTTTTTTAGCAAAATACAAGTTTGATCACTTTCAATCTTTTTCATTTCTGAAAAACGGCAAAATCCAAGAAACTCACCCATCTTCCCCTGAGCAGCCCTCTCCTGTATGGCAGATCTGAAGGGAGCCACACCAGTCCCTGGTCCCACCATTATAACAGGGGTGTCTGGGTCCTGAGGGAAACTCAAACTTCCCTTCTTCACCCACAGTGGTACGTAAACATCTCCTAAATAGCATTTAGGACACCAATAAAATGGAATGTACAGATTTCATAGATTTTATTTGTCTGAGTGCATTACTGACTGTTTTTTACTTTCTTTCAGTTTGATCAGACCAACCTTTAGAAGGGTCCAGAGATGCCAGCCAGGAAGAGCAGAGGCCTTTGCGTGGCTTAAAAAGCATGCTTTTATATTTCACCACGGCAACCAAAATCTGGATGCGGTTAGGGTGTTGCTGCGGGGGGAAAATGTAAAATCAGAAAGAAAGATTTATAGAAATATTATAAATGTTTACACCACTGTTCAAACATTTAGGGTTGATAATGTTTTTGAAAAAAATCTCTTATTTTCTGTTTTTATATATGTTAAAAATGTAATATATTCCTGTGAACACAAAGCTGAATTTTCAGCAGCCATTGCAGTCTTCAGTGTCAAATAATCCTTTCAGAAATCATTCTAATATGCTAATTTGGTGCTTAAAAACATTTCTTATGATTTTCAATGCACAAACTGCTGCTTAATATTTTTGTGGAAACAACAATACTTCTTTTTCGGAATTCTTGGATGAATTGGAAGTTCAAAATAATTTATTTAAATTTTGTAACATTAGAAATGTCTTTACCGTCACTTTTGATCAATTTAATGCATTCTTACTAAATAAAAATATTAATTTAAGAAAAAAATCTTACTAACCCCAAACATATGAACAGCAGTCTATAAATGTTTAACAAACATATATGTATATATAAATATTAGTGCTGTCAAACGATTAATCGCATACAAAATAAAAGTTTTTGTTTGCATAATATATGTGTGTTCTTCTGTGTATATTTATTACGTATATATAAATCCACACACGTACAGTATATATATATATTGAAAATATTTACATGTTTTTACATGTCTATATTTATATTCATATCATTTATTTTATAAATAAATATATTTAATATATAAACAACATTTTTCTGAAATATATACATGCATGTGTGTCTATTTATATATACATAATAAATATGCACAGCACACATACATATATTACGTAAACAAACATTTATTTTGGATGCGATTCATCGTTTGACAGCACTAATAAATATATACAGGTGCATCTCAATAAATTAGAATGTCGTGGCTAATTCCAAGTATGGGTCACCATACTTGGCCACACGTCACTTTCACTTTCACTTCACTTAAACTACTTCAGTCTGTGTGTATTGAATTTATTTAATACACGAGTTTCACAATTTGAGTTGAATTACTGAAATAAATTAACTTTTCCACGACATTCTAATTTATTGAGATGCACCTGTACATTAAAAAGATTTACCAAGAGAGAAGAGGCAATAGAGAAGGAGCGAGGCTGAATTTCTGGAAAAAGATCCAACAAGCAGTCAATGCTCAACTCGGCTGTGGTATGAGGGAAGTCTGCCAGTACCTGAGTTAACATTAGAAAGGGATTACACCACTTTTCTACACGTATAATAACCTTAAACATTTTGTAGGAACACAGCTCTTTCATACTCCAGATGACAACAGAAATCGGTGTATGAGTCTACAGACATCCAAAAACAAAAAAGAAGTTGTATTTAACATCAACATTCAAGTGATCTCTGACCTCCAGGGCTGTTCGATGGGGTCGGTTGCAGTAGGAGTGAAGACCGTCCTGACCCTGAGCGGAACTGAACTCCAAAAGTTTATCCAGCTCCAGCTCATTAGTGGCAAAAGTGGCCAACACCTCAAAGAAGGAACGGCGTGGAACAGCAGAAATGTCCAGGAACTGTTCCACCAGAAAGCGAACGGAGCAGGGCTGAGGAAGATGCGCAGGGACTGCTGCTACAGAAAGGAGAGGAACACAGAGTTTAAAAGGGTAAGACTTTCTTTCTTGCATGGAACACAAAAGGAGATGTTCTGAGGAATTTTGACATGTGGGTTTGGAACAACATGACAGAATGTTCTTTTTTTTTTAAGGTGTCAAGTCTCACCTGTGCTGCTGTCAGTGGGAGTCAGTGTGAAGTATCTCTCCGGGCCAAGTTTTAGTAGTTGACAGAACTGCTCCACATCCTCTGCAGCATTACAGGGTCTCATCATTACAACATCTCCTGGACTGTACCTGTCAGAGATAGACAAAACCTTTTCATACCATTTTGTGATGCCATTTAAGCTGTATGATTTGATTTGAAATATCTCATATATGCTCACTGTATGTTGGAGCCGGTGATATCAAACTCGATATGCCTGACATCCTGGAAGTGTGAAGGAGGAGTCACTCTCTGATTGAACACAACTCCAGCTGGAAAAGGCTGCAGTGGGGTGGGAGGGGCCTTATTATCAGGGGTCTGGAGATGCTCAGTCTGCTTGTCTGGGACTTCATCTAGGAAGTGGAAAACATATCGGGGTGGAAGTCTGAAAAAGATAGATTATGCATAAATATATGAATTATCTATTTGAATTCAGTCATTTAATAAAACATTATTTTTAGATTAGTTGACAGACTTTTCTTCCTCACGGAGTGGAGCGAGGCCAGCTGGAGGAGGGTAGAGAGACAGGGCTTTCTGCCAGAACGAAATCAACCAGGGGTCAATCACACCATCTGGCCTGAGGAGTAATAAAAAGATATATAGATATATCAGCAGTACACACAACATATATGTTCATTATATATATATATATATATGACCTGTGATACTTTTTTCAGGATTCTTTGATAAATAAAAAGTTAAAAAGAATAGTGTTTATTCAAAATAGAAATTTTGTGTTACAATGTACACCACTTTTTAAAAGTTTGGGGTCAGTTAATCCCCCCTTCATACTTTTATTCAGCAAGGACGTTTTAAATAAAAAAAGTGAAGACTTACATTGTTAGAAAAGTTTTCTATTTTGAATAAATACTGTTCTTTTTAATTTTTTATTCATCAAAGAGAAATTATCAGAGGTTCTAAAAAAATATTAAGCAGCACAACAGTTCCAACACTGATAATAAATCAGAATATTAGAATGATTTCGTAAGAATCATGTGACACTGAAGATTGGAGTAATGGCTGATGAAAATTCAGTGCTGTGTCACAGAAATAAATTACATTTTAAAGTATGTTAAAATAGGAAACCATTATTAGAAACTGCAATAATATTTCACATTACTGTTGTAGATAAATACAGCCTTGATGAGCCTAAGAGGCTCTATTAAAAAACGGATCCCAACGGCAGTATATATATAAAACGCATTTTTCCCCAAATTAACACTTGTTTATTAGTGTGAACTGTGGGAACCTATTAAATGTGGTTCAAATTGAATCTCTTGAATTACAAGAGAAGAATAAACAGACATTTAGACAGTATGTAAAGGGAATCTCTGCTCACCCCAGATCATGTTGATCATCAGCCAGTCCAACAGGCAGCAGCATATTAGCACCAAGCAGAAGCAAACGCTTATGGAGCTTCTTAGCAACAAAGTTAAACCTGGAAAGAGGCCCAAAACGTCTCAGCATTGTTTGTCGTGTAACATGCAAACACCAGTGACATCAGTTCAAAAAGATTATTTACCCTTTCAAATTAATTGTAATATATTGTAATAATACATCAAAGGAAAAAGAAAGGCTTTGTTAGCAGAACATCTGCTCAGTCATCATACTTTGGATACGAGGAGTCTCCAAGTCCCAGCACAGCACTGTCAAGACGACAAAGAGAATCAGCAGGCAAAGACTTCCTGAACAGGAATCTCCAGAATGTCTATATGAAGCAAATATATAATATTTAAATATATGGAATACATGAAAGGTTTCTGTAATATGAAAGTTTGATGGCTAAATTCTGTTGTTTATAGTCTTACCTTCATATTGTCTGGAGGATCCCCCTGTCCTGTGGTGGCACAGACAAACACTACCAGAGACTCTGAGATCAGGTTCGCCTAACGAGGAGACATATTAAAGGGATAGTTCGCCCAAAAATGAAAATTCTATCATTAATTACTCACCCTCATGTCGTTCCAAACCCGTAAGACCTACGTTCATCTTTGGAACACAAATTAAGATATTTCTGATGAAATCCGAGAGCTCTCTGACCCGCAAAAAGTATTCTTGTAACTTTGTAAAATGACAGTTGAGCCACTGGTGTCACATTGACTGTTGTACCGATTTCTGGAACTGGGAACATTTCAGTTGTGTTGCTGTCTATGGAAGGTCAGAGAGCTCAATCTTCATTTGTATTCCGAAGATGAAGGAAGGTTTTACGGGTTTGGAACGACATGAGGGTAAGTAATTAATGACAGAATTATCATTTTTGGGTAAACTATCCCTTTAACATTGAGCAAAAGAGCTTATGAGTTATAGCGTTACTGTTAACCAATAAACCCCACACCCCAACACAGTGCAGATCTTCGCATGTCTGTGTATGACTGCAGACTGCATAGGCATCGTGCACTGACCACATTATAACTGTCCAGAGCTTCCACTCGGACTCTCATCCGCCTCCTCTGCGCCTGGCGGCCGATCCGCTCCGCTGTGTCCTGCGCTGTGCCCGTCTGACTCCCGTACAGAACCAGCAGAGCGTGGGTGCTCATTTTGTCATTGGAATCAGACAACTGATCAGAGAAGCAAATAAATGCAGCAATGTTTTAGTGTGGGTTTTTTAACAATCAACGTCAGATAAAAAAACAATACACTATAAAATACAATACTGAACAGAACTTTTTATGAGACTATATCAATGGTTATTTGTAGAACCGACGGATGTAAAGGCATGTCAGTGACAGCTTTGAGTCGCCCACCGTCTAACTGTTACGTGACAATTCTCATGCAATACCCTGCATCTTTCGTGATCTACGATACAGAAAATATTCCATCGTGTAAGACTGAGTGGCTTACCTAAAGATATAAGCACTTTAAGTGATACCCTGACTATCGTCAGCACATGTACTGACAGTAAAAAATTAATGTAGAACGGACTTCAGCGGGACATCAGCTTGTTGTCATGGAGCACTTTACGGCAGAGTTCAGGTTCCGTTCGATCTAACGTCATTTTACGACAGTTGTGCAATTCACTCACGACGCTGTAACCTAACCTTCGGGAACCATGCCTAAAATTGGATTTTATGTATAATATTTCAATTCAATTCATTCTTTATTTCAGACCCATAGGCCCATATCAAAAAAGTAAAAACAAGCAAGCATACATTTACAAACAACAAACATATACAGACTTTCATGTCAGTGCTTCTTCCAAAACAAGAGAAATACCATGTATCACTTAATGGAAGATTATTTAAGACAATTATAACTGTATTTTTAATAATCTACACATAAAAGAATACTATATATATATATATTTGGCTTGCACTTGTCCCCCTAAAGCTAAATTCTTAACGCGTTATGAAATGTTACCTGGAGCTTTTTCATTTTAACTTTATTATATTTACACCACAGGTGTGCCTTATAAAGTGAACTTTACGAGCCAGCACATTTACCTGTCCACACAATTAACAGCACAGACGCTGCACAGATTCATTCTTCTTTATATACATTTTTATATTATAGAAACTGCATACTATTTATCCTAATATATCAAACACCCATAATCACCACACATATTCACAAAAGGGGATGTTTAAAATAATTGTTATTTTGTAGTTAAAACTAACTTGAAAAAACTAATTTTTCTAATACGACCATCAGAGGGCGTCGTTCATTAAATATGTGAACCGGAAATAATAGTACGATTGACCTGTTCTTATTTTTAAAGCTGTTTTAAAAATTTCAAAAAGAATTTGAGATCATATATCTGTTTTTACTACAGAGACAATAGCAATATTCCTAGCTCTTCAGTGGATAGAAGAAGTACAGCCAATAAGATCAGTAATTTGTACAGACTCCCTTTCCGTTTTAAATAGCTTGCTAAGTGGAATTTCAACAGCAAGGCAAGATATGCTTTTTGAAGTGATGCAGAGTCTATTTAGAATAAGACAATCTGGTCTTATGGTAAATTTCCTGTGGGTACCTTACCATCACATATGGGTGTGGAAGGAAACGAGGAAGCAGACCATCTGGCTAAACAGGCTCTGAAACCTGCACAAATTTACATTAAAGTGTCAATGAGTAAAGCAGAAGTAAAAGAGTTAATTGCAAATGAAATAAGAAAGAAATGGCAGAAGGAGTGAGATAGTGGAACAAAAGGTAGACACTTTCATCATATTCAAGAGAAAGTAGGTCAAGAAAGAAGAAAGTTTGGCAACAGGAAAGAAGACGTTTTAATGTCAAGAATGCGTATTGGACATTGTTCGTTAAATCAGTGTCTGTATAGAATGGGGAAGCATGAAACTGGAAATTGTGACAAATGTGGTCATGCAGAATCATTGACATTAAAGTGTCAATGAGTAAAGCAGAAGTAAAAGAGTTAATTGCAAATGAAATAAGAAAGAAATGGCAGAAGGAGTGGAATAGTGGAACAAAAGGTAGACACGTTCATCATATTCAAGCGAAAGTAGGTTAAGAAAGAAGAAAGTTTGGCAACAGGAAAGAAGACGTTTTAATGTCAAGAATGCGTATTGGACATTGTTCGTTAAATCAGTGTCTGTATAGAATAGGGAAGCATGAAACTGGAAATTGTGACAAATGTGGTCATGCAGAATCAGTAGAACATGTACTTATAGAGTGTGATGCATATGAAGGAACAAGATTCCAACTAATTCAAGCTTTAGGATCGTTCGGAATAAATAATTTGTCACTTCAGGTTCTGCTAGGAAATGGCCCAAAGCAATCAAGAATATTTCATGAATTAAATATTTTCTTAAAAGAAACAAGACTGATAAATAGAATTTAGGATTCAGTTGTAGTAAATAAAGCGGAATTAGTATTATCATTATTATTTTTTAATAATAAATATTTTTTTTGGCTATAGTTCTCAAACTTCCAATCATTATGCGCTCCACACTCCTATCCAGTAGGTGGCGGGAATGCACCATTTAAGTTGGTTTGCCAACTGCCATTAAAACCAGAAGAAGAAAAATGGCGACCGGGAAGAGGTGTTTGTTTACAGTTATTAATGCGATTATAACGGCTCTTATCATAGAAAGTCAATGTCGACTCCATCATCTCGTACTTAAGGTATGTGTGTGCTGTGCTTGAAATGTTTTTATGAAATATTCGTATAGTCACTGTACTGTCATCACTGTTTAAAGCAACGGATGTTTCCTTATGATTCATCAGTCATAACCGTTTTGTTGTTATAATGCAAGTGCCATTAAACAGATGATGATTCAAACGCTTCTCAGCATCTAAATGCCCGTGCGCCACTAAACAGACTTATTAAAACCAGAAGAAGAAAAATGGCGACCGGGAAGAGGTGTTTGTTTACAGTTATTAATGCGATTATAACGGCTCTTATCATAGAAAGTCAATGTCGACTCCATCATCTCGTACTTAAGGTATGTGTGTGCTGTGCTTGAAATGTTTTTATGAAATATTCGTGTAGTCACTGTACTGTCATCACTGTTTAAAGCAACGGATGTTTCCTTATGATTCATCAGTCATAACCGTTTTGTTGTTATAATGCAAGTGCCATTAAACAGATGATGATTCAAACGCTTCTCAGCATCTAAATGCCCGTGCGCCACTAAACAGACTTGTTCTGTCTCAGGATGACATCCGTCAGCGGGTCCATCTGAACACATTCGGCTTTTATAAAGATGGTTATACGAGTATGAGCATGAACAGCCTCAGCTTCACTAACGGGAAGACGGACAACATTGACAGCTCCACGGTCAGACTCTCTCTCCTGCCTGTCAAATGATCGGCAATAATATGGTGGAATAAATCAATATGAAAACGTCTTGCACGTTATTAATGGACGTTTTTATCTCAGCTTTTACGAGACTATTTCTCATTATCATAAAATTAAAGTAAATTTATAACGCCTGCAGTATGTTGATCAGGAATAACTGACTGGGTTTCTTTATGAAATATCTTTATAATGTATTTTCTCATATTTTAATGGATTTGTTTTTATTTATTGATTGATTGCAGATTGGTTTTAGCCTTGATCGTGCAAGCAATAATGGCTTCTCCACATATCTGGTTAGTATCTGCCTTTAATGTCCATCTGAATCTAATTCTGTGCTTTTGCTGTACAGTTTTGGTATCAGTGTTGTGTACTAAATGTGTCTGTAGATTATTATTGTTAGTTTTAGTTAGTATTGGCATAAATTAGCCGCTGTAACTTGGCAATTTTTTAATAGCAGTACAGTATGATTCATACAATGTAATATGTGACCCTGAAACCAGTCATAAGTCGCACGGGTATATTTATAGCAGTAGCAGGGCTCTACGGATACTTTTCTTTTTAGGAGCGCTTGAGCTCCTAATTAAAAAAAATTTAAGAGCACGGTCAAAAATTTAGTTGCACCTTCTAATCAGTAATCAAAAATTCTGCTTAAAAAAATCAACCTTCCCATTACGAGGTGATATTTGACTCCTTAAAGTGATTTATAGGGAATTTTGTTTTTACCTTTGTAATGGCATTTTTCTAACTTTATTAAAAGTATGTCATCTTTTATGTCAAAATCCAAAATATATATTTATAAGCTTTTTAACATTTCTAATTAAAACAACAGAATAAAAACAAGTAGAATAAGAATAATTTGCCAATCCAATGAAATCAGTATTTAAGAAATACATTTGTGCTACAGAGATGGCACAAAAGAACACACAAGTGGCTTGACTGATTTTCAGACGTTTAATGAGGCTCAGAGGTCGCATGAGTGCAATTAAATTCATAAATTCATGTTGCGGTTAATGTTTTAAATATAACACTTTGAATATAGAAATGATTTAAATAACAGAAAAGATGCTTTAAAAATTTAACTAAAACTGCCAGCAGGTGGCGTCAAGTCACTGATTTATCACTGAATCATTCAGTCAATTGATTCGTTCGCCTTTGAAGCTCCCTCAGCGCAAACACAACTATGCTGATCGGGTCAGTCGCACAGGTGCTCCTAAATATTATTTCATAGTCGCACGCAGTAGTTTTCAGTCGCAAATGCTCGCACTGTAGAGCCCTGAGTAGCTAACAATACATTGTATGGGTCAAAATTATAAATTTTTCTTTTATGCAAAAAATTAAGATATTAAGTAAAGATCATGTTCCATAAAGATATTTAGTAAATTTCCTACCGTAAAAATATCAAAACCTAATTTCTCATTGGTAATATGTATTGCTAAGAACTTCATTTGGACAACTTTAAAGGTGATTTTTCTCAGTATTTTTATGTATTTATTTTTTTTCACCCTCAGATTCCAGATTTTCAAATAGTTGTATCTCGGCCAAATATTGTCCTATCCTAACAAACCATACATCAATGGAAAGCTTAATTATTCAGCTTTCAGATGATGTATCAATCCCAATTTAAAAAAAATTGACCCTTATGACTGGTTTTGTGGTCATGGGTCACACATTAGATTAAAGCTAACATTACATTGGCATTCACTGTATGATCTTTCAGTCAAACTGAGTCAGATAACCGATGACCTCTCTTATTGAATACGCAGGACGATGGTCTTGACTACTGTCCTCTGAAAAAGGATCCAAGTAGTAATTTTGCAGGGGTGCTTCTCTTGCTGGACTTCAAAAATAACTTGTGAGTTTTCCCATCTAATTTTTTTCCTCTGTCTCTCAATTAAAATGAATTTGGAAGTATCATCCAGTTTATGAATGGTCTGTCATGACTTGCAATATCCTCAGAGTGAGGAAGAAGACTTCAGCAGAGGCTGGTGTGTTTCCCAAAATCATACCTGTGGTCCCCAAAACTCTCTTATTGAATACGCAGGACGATGGTCTTGACTACTGTCCTCTGAAAAAGGATCCAAGTAGTAATTTTGCAGGGGTGCTTCTCTTGCTGGACTTCAAAAATAACTTGTGAGTTTTCCCATCTAATTTTTTTCCTCTATGTCTCTCAATTAAAATGAATTTGGAACTATCATCCAGTTTATGAATGGTCTGTCATGACTTGCAATATCCTCAGAGTGAGGAAGAAGACTTCAGCAGAGGCTGGTGTGTTTCCCAAAATCATACCTGTGGTCCCCAAAAGCACAGTGGTGGAGCAACAAGCTGAAAAGGGCCAAGATCTCCAAGACAAGGGGCCAGATGATGGATCTCAGTCTAAAAGTAAATCTTTCTTATCTTGAACTGTATATCACATCATGGCATACACTACCGTACAATTTCAAATTTGTGGTTAGTAAGATTTTTTTTTTAAATAAATAAAATGAATACTTGTATTCAGCAAGGATGCATAAATTGATAATTGCAGTAAAGATATTTATAATGTTACAAACTATTTCTGTTTCAAATAAATACTGTTCTTTTAAACTTTCTATTCATCACAGAATCCTGGAAAAAACATCACAATTTCCAGAAAAGAATTTAATAATGATTAATTCCCTTACAACTAAGTAAATTATTACATTAGTAAGATTTTTTTTTAAATAAATAAAATGAATACTTGTATTCAGCAAGGATGCATAAATTGATAATTGCAGTAAAGATATTTATAATGTTACAAACTATTTCTGTTTCAAATAAATACTGTTCTTTTAAACTTTCTATTCATCACAGAATCCTGGAAAAAACATCACAATTTCCAGAAAAGAATTAAGTAGCATAACTGTTTTAAGAAATGTTTCTTGAACACCAAATCAGAATATTAGAATGATTTCTGAAGGATCATGTGACACTGAAGACTGGAGTAATGGCTGCTAAAAATTCATTTTGCCATCACAGAAATGAATGCCAGTTTTAAAATATATTCAGAATCAGATAGATAAGTTGTTCTGTTATTTTACCACATTTTTGATCAAATAAATGCAGTCTTGGTGAGCATAAGAGACATTTCTAACAATAGTTTATTAATATTTTCATCCCATTTGTGTTGTAAATGAAAGCCTTT